ACAGTGATAAGGTGACATATAAACACCTCTGCCTTCTTCTGTTAGAGATAGCTATTTATAATAGTCAGTACTCAGTTAACAATAGAACGCCTAAAAATTATTGCCTTTTAAAAGATAAAGATCGAAGAATACATTCAAAATACAATCCCAGCCAAAACTCAAATGCACAGAGCGCCTGGTTGGCCAGTTGCTTAGGATAGGTTAAATACTTTTGAAGATAAGGTTTACAATTCCAATATTTGAGACAACATTCCAAAGACTGGTCTTATCTAGCAGGCATTTAAGGCGGCTCGCTTCAGAAGGGTCTTATAAATTAAATGAGCATTTGCATGCCTTTTTCTCTTACAAATGACTCATCATTATCATCATCAGCCTCTTTATGTCCCCACTGCTGGGGCACAGGCCTTCCCTATGGATGGAATAGGGAGATTAGGCCATGACCCACCACGACCCAGTGTGGATTGGCGGGTGCTAACGACTGCAGATGCAACCGGGACCAACGGCTTAACGTGCCTTCCGAAGCACGGAGGAACTCGAGATAGAAATTTTTGGTCACCCATCCAATGACCGACCACTGCGAAAGTTGCTTAACTACAACGATCGCAGCCGAACGCGCTAACCACCTGCGCCATCGAGCTCCTCTACAAATGACTATCTCTGTCTAAACTTAACTCTATCCCTCCCAGGGCCATGTAATCTGCTGGGTGTATCTAGTAATCTGGGTGCCTTCCCAAACATTAGAATTTTCCTTATTAGGAAAGCAAAGGAGAACTGTTCTCACATCCCCGCGATAAGATGAACTAAAGAAGTGAGAGGCGAGGTATCTGGGATCTGCTAATCCCACAGTGCAGGCCGCCCACCGGCCAAGGCGTCTACTCTGCTAAATTAACGTAAATATCCTGATTCAATAATGGTTCTTGTTACTAAAACACAAAATAACAAAGGAATAATATAAATAAAGGGTTATTGGGGATGGAAAAAAAATAACATTCGCAGATGCGGATTTCAAAGATATATTACAACGAAATTCCAATTTGAAGTGCATAAATAAAGGCTTTCACAGACTACGCAGATACGGTAAGATCTGTACCGATATCTTTCAATATCGCTCTCTTTATGATTCATATGACCTAACACACACAGCGCAGATAAATTTATATTTTACTATAACGTATCTGTGGGTATTGAATTGACATATATCAAAAGATGGTGGGATTGTTATCTGCGTATACAACTTTATCTGCCAATACAAAATGGCATAATATTTTACCTGCATGTTGATACAGGTGGATGCGCAAAGGCAGGGTCTGGGGTGAGACAGAGGGGAGGGAATCGCCCGGACCAGCGACGCTGCTCCGGTCGCTGGCTCATTCGTCCAATTTTGGCGTTGTATCCAAATTCTTCGCGTTCTAGTAATTGCGCTTAAAGCAAGACGTGCATCAAATTCAAAATCAAAATCATCTCCTGACGAGCTGTCTAATAAATCCAGAAGCAATAAACACGTTTTTCCGTAAAACGCGAACTTATTGTAACACTGTATGAACAATCTTTACCAAAAAAAAATTTCTACTCAGTCTGAAGGATTCCCAGTGTATATTATCGTATCTGCGTAGTGTGTGATTCGCTTTAATGTAAATAGATTTCATTTTAATGTTTATTTAGCATAGTCATTTTGAGGACAAATCTAATTTGCATCAGTTGATGCGGATGCGGATGAACAGTTCTGAATTAATGCAAATACCTACTTTACGAATAAAAATAATTTACGAATGCAGATGTAAATATCCGTAACACCCCTGACAAATGAGTATGCGTAACTGGAACTGGACCTGGGAGTAGACGGGACTCGAGCTCTTCGCTATCCAGGCGAATGTACTTGAAGCCTAAGAAATACTAGAGAAAATTCGATCAGAGCATCAGGGCCGCAGTAGTATAATGGTCAGTGTATTCGCCCGTGGGTTCGAATCCCATCTGCTGCCTGGTCGGCGTGGAATAATTATCTAGTATTTTTTTTTTAATTATTACTAAGTGTTATATGATAACTGTCAATTATGGCAGGGTTATCTACCGAATCCTAAAATGAAATTTGACTACTGCATCCTTGTCATTCTTGCCATACAGAATAAAAAGAAGAGGCTGATTTTAAATTTAGAGAATCATGCCAGAATCAACACCAATAACGATTAAAAATAATAATTCATTAAATCTCCCTTATTTTAAACACATATAACTAATTTAGCTAAACAAAATTAAAGAAAATATAACTAGAAAAAAAAATTTAAACATCAAGCAGTTACATGCTTTAAAAATAATAAAAATTATAACTATAATTGCTATTTCTTCTTTCAAATGTTTAATACTTGTAAAAGTATTCATTTGACATTGTGGGTTTACCTATAATGCGAAGAGATGGCGCTGCCTTGCAGCTTAAGAATAGCTAGAAAGAATTTCGACGCGGTCCGTGAGGGCCGCGGTAGCATAATTGGTCAGTGCATTCGCCCGGATTGCGAAGGGTGCGGGTTCGAGTCCCGTCTGCTGCCTGGTCCGCGTGAAATTTTTTTCTAGTTATATTTTCTTTAGATTTAAACATCAAGCAGTTACATGCTTTAAAAATAATAAAAATTATAAACAAAATTAGTTCTTCTTTTGTTCACCTATTGAAAGTAGTACCACAATCATGCTCTTTAATTGTTCCCTTCTAACAACTCCATAATGGAGTAGGAAGAACGGTAATACTCTAAACACCATGTATTTTTTTTTTGTTTTTATTTAAACTACTTTGAATCTTTTACTCATTTAAACATACATTTATCAGTTTAAAGTGTGGCTGGATCAATTTTCATAATGTTAGCTTTTGTGCTTAACTGTACTTTTGATCAAATATTTCATTCTTTATTTTTAGTCCCAACTTACCACTCAAAATAATTATTAAACAGAGGTGTCATTTGCAACCACTAGCTTCGGTCCCAAATGCTGCCTCAAAAATAATTATGAATTTCAAACGAGACTTTCGGGACAGCGGTTCCGCTCCCATAAGATCACCGACTCTAAAAATTAACAGTTTTGCTACTAATATGGTAGTAAGATTGGTCGTAACAAAGGACACAAAGGAATCCTTTGTTAAATGCTTTTACAGTATGATTTGCATATTTTGCTGTGTCTTGACTAGCAATTTTCATCAAATGACTAGAGATAGCGCTTTAAAATTAAAAATATTATTTTACTACTCCCCATGTAAGACTCTATTTTTATTTTAGTTTTATCATCTGCACAGCCTTGCAGTGACCTAGCAAGTGGCAAATACTTATTGGCAAATTTGTTATGAGCCATATTAAATTCAATTTATACTGGAAAATAAATTGACACATGACAGTTTGTTATGCCCTGAAAAATTACCTCAGAACATGAAATAAGCATAGAAAGAGAGTAAATGCAACACAGAGGTTTATCAATTTTTTATGAAAGTTCTGTATGTGCTTCGCAGAGGCGACAAATTTTTGGTCACATGATCACAGATTAATCTGAGCAAACTGCTTTTACGGAACGGCCTGACCAAATGTTGATTAATTTCTAACCTCAAACAGAAACAAACATTTAACAGATTAATCTTTCTCTTCAGTCAAAATATTATGAGCAAAAAGATTTACATTGGACTGATCCGAGTGGAATTACTGAACGCTTTAGATTTGCTCTAGATGTAAAAATAAACGATTCAGACTAAAAAGATTGATCAGAGGCAAATACCAATCGCAGTTATAGATGTCAAATTAGATACCTTTGTTTGAATTGTTACCCTTACAGTACCAAATCAAAAAGCAAACTAATGTCAAATGCCACAATTCTAATACTTTTTGTGTATGGGTAAACGGTACATTGTTTGTTTTTATTTCTTAATTTATTGTCCATGGGAGTGTTCGCAGAAATGTCATAGCATTACTTGAGTAACTAAGGCTGCACTAACAGGCTCCAATCAAATTTGGCTAGGAAGCGCGGGCAACTCAAGCAGTGAAGGTGAGCATTGATGCGCATCTCAAAGGGGGCCTCCTTAAACCTACACCAGCAAGTTTTGCCTTGATGCGACTCTCAAAAGGGGGCCTCCTTAAACCTACACCTGCAAGTTCCGGGAAATGCACAGACTTTCTCTCTCTCCCACATGATAGACCCAGCACTCGCACGGTGAATCCATGCAAAGCTAAGAAGTCTCGTCTCATCTCTATGCTTTAGTTCTTGTTCTGAGATAAATTAATTACTATTTCATACATTTGCCATTATAAGCTTTGCTAAATGCTAACAAACAAGCCACTTAGCTTCGCCCATGGGTGATCTATCGCATTCCTTATTTTTCTTATGCGCATTTTAAAATATTTAATGTTGCTACACACTTATAAACATTACCGGATTATGATTACTTGACGAATTAAAGTATGAATAGAGCTCAAATGCATTTCATTGCAAGAACATCTATTCAGATGGAGGTCAACGGTTTTGGACTTTGACTTTAAGTGCGAGATCATTTTATAATTTACATTCAAACCAGGTGCTGATGAAACAAAGAATGAGGTAAATCAACTTTTTTTTATTTATTTATTTTAGCTTCTGAAGGATCGGAATCGTTCATTATAAATAGGTAGGTATATAATTATAAAATAAATCAACACATCTATTACCATACATAATTTTTTAAGCTTCCATCACTTCATAAAATGATAGTCAGATATTTGAGTAGTGTTCAAAATCAGAACAAACATACTTTTTATCAGGGTACTTAGTACAGAATTGACCTTGTTTACAATTTTATTACTGACAGATAAAACATGGATGGGCATAGGTACATTCAATGAGTTTTTATGTTCTAAACAAAACGCTACAGATAAACACAGCTAATTTTGAAAGGAGAAAGCTTAAAAAATCAAATTGCATAATTAGTGCAGTGCAGATATCATTATTACGCCAGCAATAAGTCCTTCCGTTCTACAATATATTTTGTCATGGTAGCTTACCTTCTTTTCTGATTTACAGGTTTAGAAGCCATCTCCAAATATTTTTGAAAACAACACTTGTGAAATTCGGACGATATGACCACAATCTTAGTACACTGCTAAGGAGAGTATCATATCGCTTTCCACGATGTTATAATTGATTGAACACTTGTTTACGTATGCTCCACAAAAAAGTCTCACTAATCACAAATTATTTATGTCATTTTACGATGCACTACACATAATAATCACTTCTGTTGATGTGAACTTGCACAACACCACGAGTCTGGGATTAAAACTAAATTCTGTCTGGTTCTAAAATTGTTTTTCTTGTAAAGTTGACTGTTGCGTTATTCCCTTGTGTTCCATTAAATTTTGTGACGTAAGGAAATTAAACATCTTGTCATTGGTGCATACGAAACCCAGTCCGAAACATGATTGGGTTTCATTGTTAGTTTCATCAGTTTAAATGCAGCATCGATAGATGTCGTTAAAAAAAATACTACAGACACGTGGTTTTGCACCTAAAAGCAGTCTTCATAAATAAAGCTTGAACATTACTGTACTGACACCTTTTATCCAATTAATTGTAAAATTTTGAAGAGATCTCAATGGTGAAAATAAAAATAATTATCGTTCGTGCTTATTATTTTTAGTTCAAGTTTACTTGATCATCTATAGACATCTATTGACAAAGGCTATAAACTCAATATTCTTCGTTTTTGATTTCTAGGATACTACATAGATGTCGCCATAATAACTAACTTTTTGTTTAATCAAAAGATAACAGATGGCGTTGAAGAATTATTTCTTTAAATTGTGTTTAACTTGTTTACATTTTGATTTAATGTTTTTCTTACAAACTTGCTGCATTCAGATCAATAAGCTATTGCAAAAACTATAGGTCTATATTAAAACACAAAATTACAAGTACATTTGCTCAGTCATTTGTTATTGTTATCTATAAGCATCTGTTATTTGAATTTTTAGTAATAAGAACTATCTTAAAGTGATACTATTAAACCACTATTTAAACACGTACCTCTAGCGGAATTGGCATCAGGATTGCCTGATAAGTATTAATGGTCGCAGATGCCCTTTACAGCGTCAACGGGTTTTGGGACGGCGAGATCCTGAGGGGACCTCAAGCCGAGAATTGGTGAGTTCCTACTCGAACCTGAGGGGGTCGGCTCAACTAGAGGGCGTCTCTGAGACTCGGATCTCGGCTCTAGTCAGCCGTTGTCGTGAGGGTTCGCTCACGAAGGATTATTTATTTACTTATATTAAAAACATTTTTGTTTTAATCTGATAGAATAATGCTAAATTACTCAATTAATTGGTCTCTGACTTAACTGGTAGAGAGTAAGGTTTTTTTTAAATGTTAAAAGGGTGACAAACAAGCGTATTGCCCGCCTGAGCAAGCAATCGTCTTCGTCAATAGACACAAATAACACTTCACGAACTTCAAATAACACCGGTGAATTCTGAGGTGAAAAGTGAAATTGTTCTTGCATTCTAAGAACACTGCCGGATTTTCCCGAAAACGTCAACTTTTGGCAAACATTACTCTCTTCCTCAATTCCTCATACAGAGCGATACTATCTTGTATCACACGCATAGAGTGGTCAACATGCAGGGCCGTAGCGAGAGTTGTATATTAGGGCCGCCTTCGCCTCATTTTATGGAACGGCAATGGTATTTTAAGGTAGGGCAATAGTATTTTAAGGTAGGGCAATAGTATTTTAAGGTAGGGCAATAGTATTTTAATAATGGCCACCCCTGCTCCGCAGCAGGGTCCGCACCTACCAGCAAGCTTACATTTGAATGCCACCCAGAAGGCAAACAGACAGTGCGCAAAGTCCATAACAAAAAAAATGGGTGCGTGTACTTATGTAGGCGCGTGAGAAGTTATCCTTCTTTGGCATCGTTTAAAATTAGTTTTTAATTGCATGTAAATAATTAATTACAATAAATTAATAAAAAGTCTGGAAAAGGACACAGTCAATAAAGTTCAGTTTTAATTTGAAAAAATAAATATATAATCAAAATATTCAATTAAAATCACTACTGAATATAATTTATTAGAACATATGTGATTTGCACTTGTATGAAACTCAAACACGTATTCCGAATATAGTCCAGGCAACGAAAAGGTATAGAGGGAATTGCTTAGAACACAATTTTTGACTTCGTGACTTTGTTAGGACTAGTTAGGAGGTAAACATATCAAAAGTCCCCGCCCGTAGCCCTTAAGCCGGGGGGAGGGGGGGGGGGAGGGCTTGAAGGTCCCATTTTTAGGTTTTTCGCATATATCTCGAAAACTATGCATCCTAGCGACATGAGACTTTCACAAAAGTGAAAGCTGATTAAATTTGCTACATGTCTTATTCAGTCAAATTTTTTGATATCTTGTATAGTTTTCGAGATATCCGCTCTTGAAAGTCTGTAATTATGGAAAAAAAAATTGTTCCCATTTTTGCTCTATTTGACCGGATAACTCTTCAACAATGCACCCAAAAAATAAATGCTGGCCGTAGGGTTGTAGAGCATTAAATTATCTTCAATAATAGAAACAATTGCCTTTTTTTTTATTTAAGGACAAAATTGTTAGTGTAGTAGACGTATGGGGGCGGTACGGTGGGCACTAGGCCGCGTACTCAGCCCCCACGCGCGGGCCGTCCTGCGCACGTCTGTGGGGTCCTCGCGATACCCCGGGCGACCCCTGCCGCGGAACCTCGGCAAGGCCGGGAGGCTGCTAGGTGCGGAGACGCGGAAGAATCCCTAAACGGGGATCCCGCGGCTTCGCACTAAGCAGCTTACAGGGTGTTGGCAGGGTTTTTTAGCGGATATTATGCCGTATAGCGCCCGTAAGGGTTACGGGGTCCTCAGTGGGCAGCCACTGCTGGGGCTCGTAAGGCTTGCGGGAGCCAGGTGTGAGGTCCATAAGTAAAAAAGAAAGTAAATTAGTGTCATTGAGAAACTGTAATTATCTAATAATAATATCTGTAATAATGAGATCCGCTCTTGAAAATCTGTAATTATAGAAAAAAAAATGCTTTACATTTATGCTCTATTTGACCGGATAACTCTCGGATAACTCTTTAACGATGCACCGATGTCTAAATAGCACACATGCTCATTTTAGAATATGTACTTGTTGGCCCACTGACCAGGTTCTTCACACAATCCAGAAAATAAGTAACGAGCCCCAGCAGTGGCTGCCCACTGAGGACCCCGTAACCCTTACGGGCGCTATACGGCATAATATCCGCTAAAAAACCCTGCGAACACCCTCTAAGCTGCTTAGTGCGAAGCCGCGGAATCCCCGTTTAGGGATTCTTCCGCGTCTCCGCACCTAGCAGCCTCCCGGCCTTGCCGAGGTTCCGCGGCAGGGTTCGCCCGGGGTATCGCGAGGACCCCACAGACGTGCGCAGGACGGCCCGCGCGTGGGGGCTGAGTACGCGGCCTAGTGCCCACCGTACCGCCCCCATACGTCTACTACACTAACAATTTTGTCCTTAAATAAAAAAAAATGCATAGTTTTCGAGATATATGCGAAAAACCTAAAAATGGGACCTTCAAGCCCTCCCCCCTCCCCCCCCCCCCCCCTCCCCCCGGCTTAAGGGCTACGGGCGGGGACTTTTGATATGTTTACCTCCTAACTAGTCCTAACAAAGTCACGAAGTCAAAAATTGTGTTCTAAGCAATTCCCTCTATACCTGTTTTTGAGCATTCGTTGCCTGGACTAATATACAAACTAGAAACATGTGGATAAATATTATAAACTAGCGGTAACTACCAACTTCATGGTGTTAATTTTTTGTGTTACATGATGCGCGCGCATCTTAAAATTTCACTCTCAACAATTTTTCAGAACGCGCCTAAAGAAGTATAACTTCAAAAAAACCCAGTTCATAAAAATACGATACCACTGAAATCTCAAACATACATGTCAGCGCGAACAACTACAAAAACAATACGAATGAACAGAGAACCTCCTTCTTTTTGAAGTCAAAAGAAAGAAAATTTTATTAGAAAAAAATCTACACGGACCAGGCAGCAGATGGGAATCGAACTCGCATCCATCGCTATCCGGGCGAATGCACTGACCATTATGCTACTGCGGCCCTGATGGCCGTGTGATTAAACAGTTTCGGATAACTTGTTTTTTTTAGTTGGAATGCAGTAACGTTGGTACCGGTTATCTGATGTCCACCTGCTATGGAAGGTGCACTGATAATATCGATCTTTTTGTCGTAGATATTATCAGCCCTACAAAACGTGCTTCCTGCAGTATGATTAATGATGAAATATGAGCTTTTAGTTCAAGATATTGGAGTAGATTAATTTTATTTAGCGTCGCTTAACCCAGTGTCTTCCTGTCGATCGGTAATTAAAATTGTGTGACTTCGGCCCATTATTGGGCTTGCCAGCTGGCCGGGAAATCCAGGATTGTCCCGTATCCAGTAATTAGACTTTACTGTCCTTTTTTTAATATAACGTAAGTATATTTGTATCTTAGGTTTTCACGCACATCACTCATTAAATAAAACTAGTTATTTTTAAAAAAATCTTCCAATGAAATAACCGAACGCTCAATATAAGTCTTTCGAAGGTAGCTCGACAATTTTAAATAAAAAATTTATTTACACATATTATACATAACATTATTCTGACGATGCAGACCTGAAAAGGCTGCGAAACGTCAATAAATAAATAAAGTTTTGTGCATTAACCCGTAAAAACTAGTTTTATATAACGTAAGTAAAAAATCTTTTTACAGACGATGGCGCATTTAAGAGGCACACCGCCGAACGGACCTCACACCTGGCTCCCGCAAGTCTTACGGACCCTCCAGTGGCTGACCACCGAGGACCCCGCAATTCTTACGGCATAATATCCGCTAAAAAAGTCCTGCGAATACCTTCTACACTGCTTTATGCGAAGCCGCCGGGTCCCCGTTTAGGGATTCTTCCGCGACCCAGCAGCTTCCCGGCCTCGCCGGGGGGACCTTACTGTCCTGGATTCCGGTAATGTGCTAGTGTCGTAACAAAATAAACTAATAACGAATGCTGGCCTGCTTGATGTTTTAATTCTGAACAATATGATGACAGAGCCTTTGGAATATAACTACGCAATCTCAACGAATTTGGGTTGGTTTCAATCGTTTTGACTCTGTTACTCTGGTTAAAATTCAAAATTCAATATCGTTTATTCAGTCTAGGCTGTTAAAAGCACTTGTGAACGTCGAAAAGCTACGCCATCGGTTCGCAAA